CAGCCCAAGTCCGAGGCGAAGGCCAAGGCGAAGCCGGCGGCCGACAAGCCGAGCTGATGTGCCGCGGGCTTGGCTCCGCAGGCTTGCTTTTTCTCGAGTCTTTCCGCGCCCAGGTCCTGCGACGGAAGGTGCATGGGCGGTGCATGGATGGTGCATGGATGGTGCTCATGCGGAAGGGGAAAGACAATTGAAGCAGTTCCAGCTCGAGTTCTTGCCCGGTTGCCCAGCGGTCGAGCCCCGCGATGCGTCGGTTCACAGTCCCGAGAAGAGCAGGCCGCAGGTTCTCCGCCAGCAAATTCAGACGAAGCACAAGACGGGCAAGAACGGCGCTTTGGGCCGCAAGCTGACGGACGAGGAGCTTGTCGAGGCCGAGGCCGAGCTGGCGGACCTCCTTCGCAAAAGGGACGAGCAAGTGAAGTTCGGGAGAACGGAGACCCTGAAGGGCGGCCAGGTGGAGATCCTCGGCAAGCTCGACGAGCTGGGCCGCTTGGACGGGGTGATAGGCCCGACGGAGTTCTCGGAGAACTTGCGCGCCACGGCCAAGACCGCCGCCGCTCAAAACCCTGCAGGACAGGCTCCTCGAGGACGGCGACCAGGTGCTGGGGAGCGTGGTGATCAAACCCGGCGGAGGCGGTGATCGTGTGGAGCGGCATGAAGTGCAGGCTCGTCTGTCTGGGGCCCGACCGGGCGCTTTTGCACCTTCTTGCGCCAGTCGAGCAAGAAGTGCCACTCCGCGGCGATGCGGCCGTTTCTCATCGAGGCCTGTCACAAGGGCACCCTCTACACCGACCTCCGCTGAAAGGCCTAGAAGCCCGTCTTGCTCGACGACAAAGCCCACACGCAAGGCGGCCAGCATCCGAGTGGCGCTAAAGGAGGGGGCGCGTTTGATGGAGCTCCTGCCCTTGAAGGAAGAGGTTGGCGAGCCGCCGGCCAAGCGACGGGCCGTTTCTTCTTCCTTGAATGTCGAGAACGCTCTGAGTGACACGGAGCCCATAGAGGACGAGCCAATGGCCACGGAGCTCGCCGAGCAGGTTGTCGAGGACCCAGGCAAGCCAGTGGAGAAGAGGCCGGCAGGAGCCCGTCCCCGAGCCCGCCGAGCAGGAGCTCGGGCCCGCCGAGAGCCCGCCGAGCCGAAGAAGGCGGAGGTTGAGAGCACGGAAAGGTTTTGTGCCTTGACTCGAAGTCTTCGTCGAACTCCTACGACGAGGCCCGGATGTGGGTGGAGAGTGGCTTCATGTACGGCTATGTGCAGGAGCCAGTTGATTTGGACCAGGTGAAGGATGTGAAGGAGCTCCCGGAGAGGTTCGTGCCCGGAATCAGGTCCAGGTCCGACTCGCGGCTTTGGCGCCGAAGCAGCCGGCATCAGGACCAGTTCGAACTTCGTTCCACTGCTGCCCAGGCCGTCTTGGAGTATCGTGCCACTGCTACAAACCGGAGCAGGTGTTGGAGGTGCCCCGCCTACAGCCTGCACTCACCGAGCAGGCGGAGGAGCCTGTGTAGCCGCCGGAGCCCGAGGAGCAGGAGGTCGTCGAGGACGAGCCGCCAAGGCGAGAGCGGAGCGTGCAGGGCTTCACAACCATCGTCGAGGGGGCTGACTGGAGCTCCTTTTGCAGCCGGAGCTCTACGAGGAAGCCAAGCCTCCTCATTGAGTTTAAGTGCACATAGAAATGTAACCCAACAATGACAAAGTAGCAGGATGAGCCTCGCCTGGACGGCCCTTTCCGACGAGGTGTGGGTCGATGCCCTGACCCTTTCGGGCCATGGCCTTGGACTTTCCGCTGAGGGGCGGGGTTGCCGGGGCCGGGGTTTGCCTTTCCGGCCCTTTCCGACCAAGTTCCGGTCGATGACACAGTCGGGCGGGATCTTTGGAATGACTCTGGGCGTCTGCACATTGTTGGCGAAGTCGGCAAGTGTCTTGCGGAATTCTGCGGCCGTACCAGCATTATGCCCAGATGGAGAACTTGCCGACGCAGTTTTCTTGGCAGGTGGCTGCGGTGGCAGGGCCTGAAGCTCTCTTTTGCCAGACTGCTTTGCCGGTGGCGGTCCAGCAGGCTCTGGCACTTTGCCTGCTTGGCTCGGCGGTCCAACAGCTCTGGCGGCTCCGGCACTCTGCCTTCTTGGAGTGGCGGCGGTGCAGGCTCCGGCACTCTGCCTTTTCTTTTTCAGCGATTCTCTTGCGCAGGCTGTTCCTGAAAAGCAGGGGAGCCGGTCTTGCTTGCTGCCGGTGTCCAGGGAACATGAGAGTGGGAAGGTCTCCCGGCCCAGCAGGTTGGACTACCGCTTGCTGCTGGAGGCGTAGCAGTCCGGGCTGCTTCGCTCAAATTGGGTTCCATTCCTGCTCCCAACATCTGTCATCAAGCCTCGGCCCAACCGGTCTTGCCTGCGGTTCATCCGTTGTCATCAGGCAGAGGCCCAGCAGGTTGCACCGGTCCGGGTTGCACAGGTCTTGCCTGCTGCACCCTTAGGACGCGCTTTTTGCTTCGGTTGATTCCTGGGAGGAGCTTGAGGATGTGGCACTCCGCCTTTTCCCACAGGTTCTGGCAGCCAGGGGGGCGGGTCAAAGTCGATAGGCTCCTCCTCCGGAATTGCTTTCATGTTCCTGTTGAAGGATGCCTGGATTGCCTCCTGCTTCCGCTTGGCCTGCAGCACGGCTGGGTGAGGCTGCGTCATGATCCCTGGGCCAGGAGACCAAGACGCTGAAGGAGCTCTCGGAGTTGGCGAGCCTGAAGCCTGGCGCAGCGATCCGCCTCCACCTGCCAGAGTTGGAGCGCCGGGGCTTGGAGTCTTCGAGCGAGTCGGAAGCTGCTCCCGCTGCCGAGCAGGCCGTGGAGGTGGTGCTGGGCCTCAACGTCTACCGGGTCCCCGATAGCTGGTTGAAGCTCACGCCGAGGACCTTGGAGGACTACGGTTAGCACCAAGATCCAGGAGAAGGTCGTGGGCAAGATTCGGCTGGGCTTGGGGGACAAGTCCTGGTGGAGCTACAAGCTTTACGAGGTCAACTTCAAGACCCAGAAGCTCGTGAGCCCGAGCAGGCAGTCCGTCCACGTGAGCAAGGCGAAGGTGCAGTTCCAGCTGGCTTAGTCATTTGGTTTTGTCAACGGCCGCTACAGCAAAGGACCCGCGCAGGAGTGTGGTGCCGCCCGCTCGGCGTTACGCCCACTCATGTCCTTTTCGGCCGAATCACCTCGGCGCACTCTCGGCGCACATCGGAGCGAGCCCGCTTGGCTGGGACCTCCTCGAAGTCTCCGGTCCGCTTGGCTGCCATGGCTGCACCGCCCCCGGCTAGGACCCAAAACTGATCTCGAATTGGCTGCAGCGAGAACGAAAGGCTCGCAAGCAGCAGGCTTCAGGACATGGAGCTCGGATACGCAAAGCACTCGGCTGGCTCCAAGCAAAAGCACCAAAACCGACAAGCTCGGACGGGATTTTGCTCCGGCGCTTTCGTCCTGGACCTCCTTGCCAACCGTCACCTGGAGCGGCTCGACAAGATTCTGGTGATGCCTTCTGAGCACCATCTGATCTCTTGGGGCAGAGAGACACGGGCGCTTTTGCTCACCGGCGCCCTGTCTGCCGAGAATCGTGCCGATGCGCCCCGCAAGCTTGGCCAGGCAGAGATGGAGGTGCGACGTCTGAGGCGCTTTGATGCTGCA